GGGGAGGTCGATTTAAGATACGCAAATTCAGCTACACGAATAGCGTAGCTGAATTCGACGTATCGGAGCCGACTTACCCTGCTGTGAGGACAGCGGCAAAATCGACCTCCGCGGCTCCCCCGTCGACAGCGCTTACTCCTACCTCCGCTAGTGGAGTGCAAGCGTCGATTCGGGGATCGATTGTCGCGTCCCGACAAGACGCGATAATTCGATCCCCAAGAGATCGATTTCTACCCACCGATTCAGGCAGGTAGTGTAGACCTGCCCTTAGTGAAATAGGTAGGACAGCACAGCATCAAGTCACCTTGGGAAGATCTCTGCACAGACTAACGCTATTTTTGAAGTTTATTCCACCCAACATCAGCTCACTGCTGTCCCTGTTCTCCCAGGCACCGGGGCAGTGTCCTTTCCTTCCCCCTCCCCAGCTAGGAAGGTCAGTATCGCTCCCGACCCAGTAACACGATCTCACCTTGTAATGAAGTCGGCGATGCCGCTGCTGCTGCCAGGGATAGCGATTCTCTTGGTTTTGTCCGTCGGCTCCTGGGGAGGGGCCGGGGCGGTGGCCGGTGTCCCCTCATGCGGCAGGTGCTCCGGGGCGCTTCGGCGCCGGCTCACTTCGTAGGTGTTGCGGGAATTCAGGTTAATGTCTATGAAGCCCAGAGGCGCCGAGCAAAGGGTTCCCGCCGCAGCAGCCCCGTCGCTGCAGTCCCGGGGAGTCCGAACGCCGGCGGCTTCTGACGGGCTTTCAGTCCCAGCTCCGCTGCGGGGCGGCGGGGGGCTACCGACCGCCGCGCCATCCTCCGGATCGGGCCCCAAGCAACAACTTCTCAGAGGCTCTTCGAGGGCGGCCCCCGCCGGCGGGCTGGCCCGGCCCGCGCCGCCCCCCGGCTCCGGCTGGGGATCGGGGAGGAAGTGAGGGAAGCCCCCATTGGGCAGTCTCATTTCCTCCTCCTGGGGCCCCGGCTCGGTCCGCACGGCCCAAGCAGGCGGCTCCTCCGGCTGCAGCAGGAAGCCGGCGTCCCCATTGGTCATTCTCCCGTGGGGGCCCAGGACACAGGCGGCCCCGTTGGGGGGTCTCTCCGGGCAGCACTTGCAGCCCAGCCCCGCAGGCGCGGTGGGGACGACCTTCCCGGCCAGGTACCGCTGCAGCAACAGCTCCTCCTGCCCCGAGCCCCCGCTCAGGCTCCGGCTTCCATCCCGCTCCCCGTCCTCCTCCTCCGCCTCCTCCTCCTCCGCCGCCGCCTCATCTTGCCGGCCCGCGGGAAACAAGGCTGCGCTGCCCTGAGCTCCGGCATCGTCCGGCCCAACCATTTGCCGCCCCGCAGCCTCCGGGATGCCAGTGGCGCAGCTGGGGGCGGAGGGGGCGCACGAGCCCCCCCGGCGCAGCGGACCAAGGGGGGCGGGCGCGCGCTACTCTTCACACCGCGAGCCGCAGCTACCGCTAGCTCCGCTCACCGCATCGGACGGCGGCCTGGGGCAGCCCGGCTCACGCAAGCGCACAACAGCGGCAGCCCCCAGCCAAAGGCGGTTCCACCATAGAGAAGCAGCGTAGACCTACCCGGTCAACCCTGGAATATCCGGTATCATAGAGATGCCACCTAGATAGGATCCTCCCCATAGGAGGGGAATCACGGATTTCCTTTACCATACAAGACCTCCTTACGCTCAGTTCCCCTTACCGTATTCTATCTAACACTCTCTCATTCACATGAGAAAAGACTGTTTCCATGACGATATTCATCAAAACCCAGACACTACCAGGTACCATATTCCATCTGAAACCACCGCCTCTAAAATCAGATCCCAGTAGCCACAGGTGTAATTACTAATGCGTAACAGCAGCATCACCCAAAGGCATGAGCTAGACTACAGACTTCACTGGTGTCGGACTGAACCATATAGTTCCACTATGCTGATGCCCCTTCATTTCATACTATATAAGTAGAAAGGTGGACAAGTAGAAGCTGGTGAGAAGGGGGTATGGTGTAGTTAATATCTAGTGCAGCCTAGGACTCAGGCTTGCTCAGTTAAAGCTAATGATAACATTACCTCCTGCATAAGACAGGCCTTGGGGGCAGCTTCATACTTGTGAAGTGGTGCAATAAATTCAGAAATTCCATCTAAACACACACAGCTCAGGAGCCTAATCTTGGTTCCCAGGCAGCAACCACATTAGATGTGACCACCTCTTTTTGATGCCTTCTAAACCAATGGTGTCCAACCTTTTCAGCCCCTTTATTGCAAAGAGGGGAAGAGACGACAATATTTAGGGGAAGGTTCTTCTCCCTTTGCACCATATGGATGGCACAGAGGGAGCAGAAACCACAGTAAATCCCATGCTGAGGATTTCCCTAATGTGGGGAGAGACATCAATGGTCTTTGGTGTCAACACAGCCAGCTCCTATGCCCCCTCTCTGAACAGTCACCACACAGTGCAGTGCTACTACAGGTCTGTCGCATCTTACGCGCATTTAACATGCATGATTTCAACTTTACGCGCTCGGAGGGGGGGGGGAGAGAAAAACAACAATTTTAATACTATACCTGTAGTGCGGGTGATTTTGCCCGCCATTGAACTCAATGGGGTTTTGGCTATACGTGGTTTTCGCTTTACGTGCTAACCGCAGAACGGAACCCCCCGCGTAAGATGAGACAGACCTGTATTCCCCAATGCTTTCTGGTCCCTTGTGGGATCACAGCCAATCAATGCAAGTTAGAGCAGCCCTCTGGCTGCCATATCCCACACTGGAGCAGAGAATTAGGTAGGTATAACTGATTGTTGGTTCTCACCTTATCTTTTCCCCACCCCCTTCCTGGGCTGATCAGGTTGATGGAGGGGAGGGGGACAGAGAAAAGAGGGGAAACCATTCTTTGCTAGGTGCTTTCCCGTAGGCTCAAGCAGAGCCAGTGGAACATGTATCCAGCCCTCCTTGGAGAGAGCCAGATTAAGACAAATTGAGGCCTCTGAGATACTACAAGATGAGCCCTCCCCCCAAATATCTGTGCCCCCATGCTGTTTCCTCACCACCACCAGATGTGGCAGAATGCCCAACATGCTGCAGGAACAGCAGCAGCAATACCGGATCCCCTTCTCCCTCTCCTATGAATAGCTGCTAAGGGGACAGAGCCACTGAAGCAGTGGGGGTGCCCCCCACTTCTTACTCCAGAATCTGAGGTGTTTTTGCCTGTAGGGGTAGGCCAACCCTTCTGTGCACTTCTGTGACGGAGTCCTCTGTTGGGATGGTGTTGGCAGGGCTCCCCAGAGCAGTTGGGGTCTTATTAAGAAAAGATTGGAATGAATGGGGTACACTTCTCAAGGCTGTCTACAGACTGAGTTTACATCTCTACACCAATCATGCATGGTTCACATTTCCAAGTTTTTCTTCCCGGCCATGAGGGCTGGAAACTTACCAATTTTCTTTCCCTTTATCTTCTGTTTTTAAATGAAAGTGGAGAGTCTGATATAATTACATGACTCCAAGAACCTATGATCAGGTTTACATAGCGCATACACCTTAAGGCAGCCCTATCTCTCAGCTTTCTGTAGTCTGGCAGGGAAGCAGTGGATTTTCCATCACTAACAATTTTTAAAATCACAGGGCACAGCTCAGAGAACACATTTTCAATTTACTATCCATTACACAGTTTCTTAACTGTTGCCCTTGAGGGCTATTGTTTAGAGTCTCAAAGCCCCAGGCTGGACACCACTTTTCAATCCAACTGACTGCTTTCAGTTGCTTATCGGGGACTCCTATATGCCTTTTTTCATAATACAAGAGAGCTAAGGGACATTCAGTGATAATGAAAAGGCAGCATATTTAAAAGTTATGAGGGCTATTTTTTTTTTAGAACATTGCATAACTAACTTATGAGATCGAGCATCAGAGGGGTAGCCGCGTTAGTCTGTATCCACAAAAACAATGAGGAGTCTGGTGGCACCTTAAAGATTAACAGATTTATTTGGGAATAAGCTTTCCCCCAGGGTTTTTTACCCACAAAAGCTTATGCCCAAATAAATCTATTAGTCTTTAAAGTGCCACCAGACTCCTCGTAACTTATGAGACTTATTTTGCTAGCTCAGTAGGTATACAGGAGCAGGATCCTAATGGGGAACATAAACCAAGGTCATGTTCAGATTTTCCTATATAATTTAATGGAGGTTCCTTAACATGCCAAACTGGGTGGGAAGGAAGGAGTTAACATTATAGACAAAATGTTCAAAAACAACTACAGATTTTGGGTGTCCAACATGAGCCTGATTTTCAGAGCACTTGCAGTTTCCACTGACTTCAGCTGAAGCCTTAACTCCTATCACACACACACACAGATTCCAATGATGCAATTTCCACATAAAAATTCATATTAACCTTAGATCAACTATATAGATCACATTACAGAAAAATATTTTAAAACCACTATTTGCAATATGACACCATATCCGCCACACACCAATAGAAAACCAAACATAGAATGTGTAATGTACTTTATTAGAGATGCACCAACTTTGTATCAGTCATCAAAAACACATGAAGCCATAACCAATAAACATGGACAAAGGTGGACAAGGATGCCTGTTAGCAGTTGAGTTTGAGGGTAAAGATATGTGGGCTGAGGTTGGTAGAAAGGAGACAGTTGAGGGTAAGAAGGGAAACTGCTGAACATAGTGCAGGGGTGTTGAATGATTTAGTTACTAACTTTTTATGTTTCACTTTGGGTCTAGCGACCTTAACTTGCAGGTGAAGAGTTTTCCGTGGGGAAATCTACAATAAGCAAATGTTAAGTTCTGATATTAAGTAGAGACTAAAATAGGGTAAAAAGGGAGGAGGAAAAAGCATAATAGTAAAAAATGGTGAAAAGTAAAAAAGGTGGATTTTGAGGAAAAGTTGAAGAAGGAAGTAAGGATGCTTGGCATACAAGCAAAGAGAGATATCATTCTAGGTGAAAGGAGAAGCTTGGAAAGTGTCATGAAGACGAGTGACATGAGCAGACAAAGGGTGAGAATGTGAGAAGAGCAGGCAAGAACATGGGGAGCTACAGAAAATGAAGCATGGACAGGAGCAGAGCTGTGCAGGAACTACAATGTTGTACAGACAGAGAGGTTTAGTGAAGGGGCATGACGTGGAGGTGACAGAGTTGTCAACAGAAGCGGAGAAAGGAAGCAGGGAGAAAGTTGTGGAGGACAGATATGTTCAATTTCTGCCATGTTTTTCTTTAAGGAAGCAGCAGGACACCCATATCAGAAAGACATAGAAAAGACGTGAACATAGTCAAGGGTGGAAAAGAAGAATTACATCTCATTATAGCATAAAGCTTATAATAGACTCATCCAAGAGTTAGTGTAGAGAAGAAAAAAGTAAAAGAATGAAAACCCAACCCCTGGGAACATCAGCAAAAAGGGACAGGGAAGAAGAAAAGGATTTTTCAAAAATAGTGTTAAATGAGTCATCAGCAACACAGAAAATGAAGAAAGAAAGGACACAGCTACAGAAGTCCAAAAAAGAGAGGCTCTCATGAAGTTCGTAAGCACTAGAGCAGTGGTTCCCAAACCTTAACAACCTGTGAACCCCTTTCACTAAAATGTCAAGTCTCGTGAACCCCCTACTAAAAATGAATATTTCCAGGGATTTTCTCCTTTACCTGAGTATAAAGCAGCGATCTTGGAAATATAAAATTTGTTTTTATGACATGCTTATTACACACTATTATTATTATTATTATTTATCATTACAGTATTTTTATTACATTATGAATGTAAGCAGTCAGAATGAGCGCTACCCTGACATCTGGTGGTGAGCTGTGGAAAAGGACATCAGCGTCTGATCTCATTTGCATGGGCACACTCACCCTGCCTAACATGTTGGACTGCCTGCCCAAATGGTCACTTTGGCTGCTGTGGGATCCCCAGTCTGTTATTGGGGCAGGAGTAATAAAGCATTGTTATCCTGGTTATCAAGGACAGTAGAACTGTACTTGGCATTTTATGATGGAGGGATTCGCCTTCTACCTAGCAGAACTCACTAGGTAAGGGACATGGGTTCCAAAGCCCAGTGAACTGAGAGAGGTGGGGGATAGGTATGTGTACCTGGTAGTGTAGGCCCCTAAACACCACTTTTATCTCTCTTCTCTCCAGTGTGTAATAACAGAGCCAATTTTGACTCCATTAGGAATCTTG